GGCCTGTAAAGAGGAGCTATGCCTTATCAATATATTTCTCCCTCCTGCTGCTTTGAACCTGGAGAGACCTAACCTTAGCCCCATCAGTGGCAAAACCCTAGTTATGACAGTTACAAGCCAGATGCGTGAATCCCAACATGGAGGAAAGCCTCCTGCTGACTGAGATACCCACTCTAGATGTTAGATGAAAAAGAAACAATATCTTTGAGCCATTATTTTGGGGGCTTTGCTACAGCAGTGTAGCCTACTCTACCTAATAGTCTTATTTAAGAAAATATTAGGTATAAAGGCTTGCAAGGATATAGTAGTTTGGCCTGGGGACTAGGGTGGGACCCTCTACCATTAGATACCTCCTCATTCATTTTTATAAATAATTTCTATCCAAGTAAGGTAGAAAATAAAACAAAACAGTGCTGATACAAGTTTAAGTTGGAGGGGTCCTTCTTTGACTGCCTCAATCTTCAGCAGACTTCCTCTGATCCTTTAATACTTGCTATTCCTAGTTCTTACCTGGTACTTACTGTGAAAATTAAAGAGCTGAGTTAGGAGTCTAGAGGGCAGGCTGCTCAGGCAGGGCCTCTCAAGATATTAATTTTTTCCTGGTCAGGCTCAGAGCTTTGTGGATCCAGAAACACAAAGCTTGCTGTGTGTAGAGATTCTCAGGCTCTAATACCCAGACTCACACTAACCATGCTGGATAAAACAAAATGCCTCTGTGTAATTATGTTGAGCAAGAGACCTCCCAGCACGCGCTGTCTGGAAGCCCTTGTGAGTAAGTGAAGGCATCTGGGAAACCAAGTGAGTAACCATAAGGTGGCTTGGTGAGAAAGAAATAGAGTAAATAGAGATGGGTAATTTAGGAGAATCCACCATCTGGGCTCTGAATTAATCTTTGGTTTTGCCCCCACAGGGTTGGGGATTGAACCCAAGGCTTTGAGCATGCTAGGCAAAGTGCTCTAACACTGAGCTAACTTCCAGTCCTTATGCTGTGAATTACTCTGTTAACCCAATCCAAAGCACAGTTACACATTTAATGATCAAAATCTTTTTACAAAATTCAATCTCTCTTCCTTGGACAGTATTATTCTAAGACTACCAAAATTATTTTCAGGCCTTGTTCAGTTTTTTTTTTTTTTTTAATTTGTTTTCCTCCTAGTAAGAAAATACAAATGAGTAGAGCGCAGTTTCCTGTTGCACTTACTTGAGTCTACAGCCTGATTTCCATGATTGGTCTTGAGAGTTCCCCAAGTTCTGTCAATTACCCATGAAAATTTTAATTCCTCAGTATATTTTTTGCATGTGAGGATTAATATGAGTTAAAGTGCCTGGCAAAAGATTTTTATAGATTGGGGTGTAGCTCACTGAGAGGTCTCTAAAGTTAGTTAATATTAACATTATTATTATTTTGATTATAAGGCTTTTATAATTATGCACCTAATTACAAAACACGAGACATGCTCTAGGGTTTTAATCCAGTAAGAACCTAATGCATAATATGCTTGAAGGGGTAGTTGAGATTAAAAATACAAATAAAAACACCCTAGAATAGGCACTAACATTCAAGATCTGACCACACCTGATATTGACTTCAAAGTTAGAGCTTCATTTCTCTTAAGTCTACTCCCCACATTTTGAAATTTGGTGAAGTCAATAAAGATTTTACTTGTGGCTTTTTTTTTTTTTTTTTTTTTGTGGTGTGTGTGAGTCAAACTCAGGATCTTGTACATGCTAGGCAAGTGCTATACCACTGAGCTACATCCCCAGTTCTTGACTTTCTTTTTAAAAGATTTTCATTTTCTATTTTACCAATGAGCTACAATCTCAGTCATTTATTTTTTAAAATTTTGAGTCAGGGACTCAGCAAGTTGCTGAGGTTAGTCTCAAACTTGTGATCCTCCTGACTTAGCCTCCTGAGTGTCCCACTGAGCTCTTTTAAAAAAAGATTTTTATAGACTGGGGTGTAGCTCTCTGATAGAGAGCTTGCCTAGCCTGCATGAGGCCCTTGATTTGATCCCCAACAGCCCCAAAACAAAACAAAGATTTTATTTGGTCATTTTCTCTTGGTTCCCATTGTTTTTGTTTTTGTCATTCTTCTCCTACCTGCATTTTCCCTCCTTCCTTTCCTCTTACTTGTCTGGATATTCTCTCATGTGGGGTCTTTTATGCTCACTCATTCTTTCTTCCTTTCTCCACCCCCCCTTCTTTTAGCTATACTGGGGATTGAACATGGAAATTTTACCACTGAATTACATCCCCAGCCCTTTATTGTTATGAGACAGGACCTTGCTAAATTCCATAGGCTGGTCTCAAACTTGAGATCCTCCTACCTCAGACTCCTGAGCTGCTGGCTTTACAGGCGTGTACCATCACGCCCGGTTTCATGCTGGTCTTAATCCAAATCTTTAACAAATCCATGCAGACATTGAGATGTTACAGTCCCCCAGAACCCCAATAACTAGACACCAGTTTGAGAAGCAGGGCCCTAAGCATACAATCTGTAACATTCTGTTCTCTCATAGTTCATGTCCCTTTTCTAATTTTTTTAGTTGTAGATGAACACAATACCTCTATTTATTGACTTTTATGTGGTACTGAGGATTGAACCCAGTGCCTCACACATGCTAGCAAGCGCTCTACCACTGAGCCACAACCATAGCCCTCATGTCCCTTTTGGATAGAATTGGATTGTTTAGTTTTCACCTACAATATAGGTAGAAAGTATTCAAAGTTGTCAGAATGTGTATGTGTATGTGTGTGTGTGTGTATATATATATATATATATTTTTTTTTTTTGGGGGGGGGGGTACAGGGGATTGAACTCAGGGACACTCAACCACTGAGCGACATCCCCACCCCTATTTTGTATTTTATTTAGAGACAGGGTCTCTCTGAGTTTCTTAGCGCCTCGCTGTTGATGAGGCTGGCTTTGAACTCTTGATCTTCCTGTCTCAGCTTCCCAAACGACATGCGTCACCATGCCTGGCTATTGAGTTCTTAAAGTACTGGAAGCAGGAAGAATTATTTGGGAGGCAAACTGTACAGTAAGGAATACAAATATTAGAGCCAGATGACTTGGACTAGGGATTAAACCCCAGACTTAGCAAAAGCTAGACAAGCATTCTATCACAGAGCTACCCTCCCAACCCTTTCTTTGAAAAAATTTTTTTGAGACAGGGTCTTGCTAAGTTGCACAGGCTGGCCCTGAACTTACAATCCTCCTGTCTCAGCCTCCTGAGTAATTGGGGTTACAGGCATGTGCAACTGTGCCCTGCTAGATCTTGATTCTGGCATTTGGCAGCTATGTGACCTTAGGTAAGTTACTTTTCTTTGCTTGAGTGTCCTCATACTGTATGGAAAAGGCATTATTTTAGTTGCTTCATAGAACTGTTGTGAATCCTAAATAAGAATTTATGTTAAACCAGCCAGGCTTGGTGGCATATATCTATAATCCCAATGACTCAGGAAGCCAAAACAGGTCAATCAAAAGTTTGAGCCCAGTCTGGGCAATTTAACAAGACCCTATCTCAAAAATAAAAAGTGAAAAGAGTTGGGGATGTAAGTCAGTGGTAAAGTGCCCCTGGGTTCAATCCTCAGCACTGAAAAAAAAAAAAAAAAAAAAAGCGTAACAGTTGCCAGTAATTTGTAATAACAAACGTTATATATTTCTTTCTTTTTTTTGAACTGGGGATTGAACTCGGGGCACTTTACCACTAAGCCACATCCCCAGCCCTTATTTATTATTATTTTTTATATTTAGTTGTAGGTGGACACAGTACCTTTATTTTATTTTTATGTGGTGATGAAGATTGAATCCAGTGCCTCACACATGCTAGGTGAGCACTCTACCATTAAGCCACAAGCCCAGTCCCCACAAACCCTTATTTTTTGTGACAGATCACACTAGGCTGTTCAGGGCCTTGCTAAATTGCTGAGGCTGGTCTAGAACTTGGAATTCTTCTGCCTCAGCCTCCTCAGTTGCTAGGATTAAAGCCATGTGCCACCATGCCTGGCAGATATTTTAGTATGCTTTAGGTCCTCTGATTTTTTTAAATTTAGTTGTAGATTGACACAATAGCTTTATTTTATTTTTATGTGGTACTAGGTATCGAACCCAGTGCCTCACACGTGCCATGCAAGTGCTCTACCAGCCTGGCATGTGTGAGGCACTGGGTTCAATACCTAGCACCACATAAAAATAAACAGAAAAAGATACTGTGTCCAACTACAACTAAAAAATATTTTTAAAAAGTCTGAGAATTTCTATATGTGTATTTTGGTCCTAATTAATAGTACTTATTTTCTTTAAATCTGTTGGTTACTCTTGGTATTTTACTTCCCCTTTATAAATCTGGGACATGTGCTACCAATTTTGTGATTTAGGTTAAGTTAATAATACCTCTTGGTTTTAGTTTGTAAAGCTCAGTTTCTTCTGCAAAATGGTGTTCTTTTAAGAGGGTTTCCTTGGGCTAGGGTTATAGCTCAGTGGTAGAGTGCTTGCCTAACGTGTGAGGCACGGTGTTTGATTCTCAGCACCACATAAAAATAAATAAAATAATCACTGGGTATGGTGGCACACACCTGTAATCCCAGCAACTCGGGAGGCTGAGGCAGGAAGATTGCAAGTTCAAAGCCAGCCTATACAATTCAGCAAGGCCCTAAGCAAACTCAGTGAGACCTTGTCTCTTAAATAAAAAATATATTTAGAAAAAAAAAGGGCTGGAGATGTGGCTCAGTGTTAGGCACCCCTGGGTTCAATCCTCACTACCAAAAAATATTAAATAAATAAATAAATAAATAAAGGTTTTGTGTCCATCTACATCTTAAAAATATTAAGAGGGTTTACTTCCCAGGATTACTGGATTGAGCAATTCTGCCAGTTATGTGACATTTTAATTTTTACTGTGACAAAATAAGTAAGATGTATACTTTGCCATGAGTATCCCAGACCAGTAAGAATTGGAAAAGTACATACAGTTCTTCTTATCACCCCTTGTTTCCAGGTTGCCGCTTAAAAGACTTTGGAGACTTGAGTTTTACTCCAGTGCCCAAAGATGAGCTCTATAACAACCTGATAGTGAACCCACGCTCTGTGGGCCTTGCCAACCAGGAACTGGCAGAGGTGGTCAGCAGAGCAGTATCAGGTGGCTACAGCTGTGTCACAGTGGGAGGCGACCACAGGTAAGCTGGAGCCAGGTGTGGTGAGGGGCTGGATAACATGTTGCTTTGGGCTCATTACTTAGCTGCTATCTTAGTTTCCTCATCCCAAGAAAAATATCCACAGTATTTTTAGGGTGTGGTGTTATAACATCATTTTAATGTCTAAGATCATGAACTTTTGCAGGAACTGTGTATTTTGCTTTGTGTAACACATTGTATAGTAAGAGGATTTGTGTTATTTGACACAGCAAGTACAAAGGTAGGTTAAGCAAGGTTTTTAGTCACCATGTTTCATGCTTCTTAAGTTTTCTAGAAAACATGACTTTCATTTTGGAGAACTGGAAGAATACATCAGGACTAAATTTAGGCATTTTTCAAAAATATTTATTTGGTTTTTTAGTTATATTTGGACACAAAACCTTTATTTTATTTATTTTTATGTGGTGCTGAGGATCAAACCCAGGGCCTCACACATGCTAGGTGAGCGCTCTACCACTGAGCACAACCCCAACCCAAATTTAGGCATTTTTATTAACATTTCTAATAGATTTGTTAGAGATCATCCCTTAGAATGTGAATATACTTTCCAGTCCACAATACCCTAGGTGACTAATGTATTTGGTCACTGGAGCCTTTGTCTCTTAGTAGGTCAGTATATACTTCACTGAGCTGATGTTTTCTCAGTAGTCTAAAGATTTGTAGGAAACTTTGCGATTTATTCCAGTTAGATGAAATTAAAACATGTGGAACAAATTTTTTTAAAATATTGAATTCTACAGACTTCCAGAGAAGAAAGAAGTTGGTCTGTGCTTGAATAGTCAGATTTCACAGGGGACTGTTATTTTAGCTAAGTAATGACGTTTATTGGTAGAGGCAATGAAGCACCAGAAGCACTTCAATGTATTTTAAGGTTTTATTTATTACTGGAAGCACCGAAAGCCAGATGTTAGATAACTTATCCAAGGCCTACAGCCAAGAAATAGCAGAGATAGGATTCAAATCCATTGTGGCCCCCATTGCAATTAATTTTTCTTTTCAGATCTAATAGAATAACTTTCTCTGAGGTACTTTGAGAGCTTTTCAGATCACTATCAGAAGTTCAACTTTTGTTCAGCCGGAGAAGCAGGTAGAATCCTTATTAGAATAAAAATTCAGGAAGGATAATAAGAGTCCTAGATTCACTAGTATGATGACTGGGGCATTCAGTTAAATCAACTTTAGAGTTCTGTGCTCTCTCTCTAAGATTATTTATTTAGTCTTTCCTGTAGTCAGATCTCACTCTTTGGGGACCTCCTCAATGTGATTACCATGGTCCTTGTTTTTTCTTTTTTACCTGTAGCTATCTATACTGCAGCCCATGTTATTACTTCCTTCCTTCCTATTCAATGCTAAAACCTAGGCAATCTGGAATAGTCTATGAAGGAAGGGACAAGTGTATAATTTGAATGGCTATTGACCATTTTAAAGGAAGAGGCATGTTTTGATCACTCCTTTTATACATGCACCATCACCTTACTTATCAAACCAGTTCTGCCAGGTATGGTAGGGCACACCTGTAATCCCAGCAGCTTGGGAAGCTGAGGCAGGAGGATCGAGTTCAAAGCTAGGCTCAGCAACTTAGCAAGGCCCTATGCAATTTAGTGAGACCCTGTCTCTAAATAATAAAAAGGACTAGGGATGTTGCTCAGTGGTGCCCCTGGTTTCAATCCCCAGTACCACCCCCGCCCCCCAACCAAAACCAGTCCTGACTTAAAACAGGCCAAGTACTCTTATTCCTATCTTACAGAAAGGGAAGTGGAAGTCTGGAGAAGTTTGATAATTTGTCTTCAATCTCACAGTTCTTCCTGGACAAAAACTCCAGTAATCTATCTTAATTCACTGCCTTTAGCACTAGACCATATTGTCATTCAAGGGGAGCCTGAAAATCTGTCTTGTGCTTTATTGATCAAGGATGGCTATAGAATGCTTAAGCTGCATTTCTTGTCTATGCCAAACTCAACTTTGTTTCTGGGCAGCTTCCCAGCCACAATCTCATCAGCCATATTCCTGCAGTTGAGATAGAACAGGTAGCTGATGTAAGCAGAGCCCAAGGACAAAGAAAGGCAAAAACAAATCATTGAAAGTTATTTGAATGCCATGCTAACACAGATAACATGCAAATAACTTGTCTTATGCAGTGGTGGATATGAAGTCTTGAATTGGATTGGCTTATTACTTTAATGACTTTAACAACTTTTTGACTTTTCAGGTTTCAGGCACATATAAGCAAAAATAGCTATAGTGCTTTCTTCTTAAAATTGGTTCTTTTAGTTATACATGACAGTAGAATCCATTTGGATATAAATCCATTTGGAATAAATCTTATTAGGACTCCATTCTTGATGTAGACATGGTAGGATTCACTGTGGTTTCCCTATATGTACATAGGAAAACTATGTCAGATTCATTCCACTGTCTTTCCTTTTTCTACCTTCCCTCCATTCCCCATTGTCTAATCTACTGAACTTCTTTTCTTCCCCACCCCTTTTTTGTGGGTTAGCTTCCACATATCAGAGAAAACATTCAACCTTTGGGGACTGGCTTATTTCACTTAGCATGATAGTCTCCAGATCCATCCATTTACTGGCAAATGTCATAGTTTCTCCTCTTTATGGCTGAGTAGTACTCCATTGTGTGTGTGTATGTGTGCTGATGGGGAATCAAACCCAGAGTTAGACAAGTGCACTGTACCAGCTACTCCCCCCGCCCTGATTTATAGTTTTTAATCCATAAAAAGTTAATGTAGGCCAGATACAATGGTGCACACCTCTAACCCAGCAACTTTGGAAACTGAGGCAGGAGGATTGGAAGTTCAAAGCCAGCTTCAGCAATTTAGTGAGGCCCTAAGCAATTTGGTGAGACCCTGTCTCAAAATAGAAAATAAAAACAGGCTGGGGATGTGGCTCAGTGGTAAGTGCCCCTGGGACCCTCCCCCACCCCCCGGCCAAAAAAAAAAGTTAACATAACTGATTCTTTGTAAGTTAAAATTAGATCTCCCAGGTGGAGACCTTAAGAGGTAGTAAGCAACATTTTTGATTTGTTACACATAGATCAATTCATTTAACTAGATTTCACTCACTGAACAAACATTTGAGGTCCTATTCTGGGCCAGGGTTAATGGATCAAATGACATGAATTTTGGGGACAGGAAATACATTTATCATGCTGCCAGTCCTCAAGAGTTTTATATTTCTCATATCTAATCCACTCAAGGTTAATCTTTGGGAACAACAACCCAGGGAACTTGTTTTACCTTAACCGAGTCCAGGCCCTGACTTTGCCCTGAGGACAGAGTGTAAGCTGTGTTGGCTCAGAATATTTTTTATTGATGATGATAGCAAAGCAGAGGGCCTTGAAGATTATATTTGTTCTTTGCAGCCTGGCAATCGGTACCATTAGTGGTCACACCCGGCACCGCCCAGACCTTTGTGTCATCTGGGTTGATGCCCATGCTGACATCAATACACCCCTCACCACTTCATCAGGAAACCTCCATGGACAGCCAGTTGCATTTCTTCTCAGAGAACTACAGGACAAGGTTAGTGGGACAGAATGAGAAGGTAAATGGCTTACAGGGTTATTCCTGGGGCTTTGGAGGTTTTGTTCAATAAGACTAGAGTGAAGGATGGGTTCCATGAGGCTCACCAACCTTTCATTTGTTCACTAAATACTACTATGTGCCAGACAGTCTGCTAGATGCTAGGATTTAGAGATGACTAGGACATGGTCCCTGCTCTCAAGGGTGCTTATAATTCTCTAAGAAAGTAAGGTGGTAGTAACTAGTGATGGACAGTCTCATAGCCTGAGGACTCCTTGGTTAGAGGCTCCCAGGCCACACCCTCAGATAAGCTACCCTATGCTTACCTCTGGGTAATATTTTCCTAAGCTATAGAGAAGAGGCTTAGGAAAATATTATGGGAGGCATGTTAATGCCAAGACAGGCATAAACTAGTATCTGTATATCCCTCCCCCTTAGCGAGAAACCAGGTTAAACCAGAATAGTACAAAGATTATTCATTAGACAGAATTTGTTTGGTTGTTGGCAACTTGAGGTGGCAATTGAGTTATACTTTAAGAACCAATCTGTAAACAGTTTAGCAATGTGCAAAGGAACCAAAAGGGCAAATCAGTGTAGTCCTACTGTTTAGACTAGTTATTGGTAAACCAAGACCATTTTGAGAAATTTTTTTTTCATTCTCCTTGAGAAAGCTGTATTGTTTTTCTGTTCCCCTTCTGAAACATTTCCATTCTTGTGAAGTTTATTTCCTAGATCAAGTGTGTCTTGTGTTGTTTTAAACATATCCTGTGGACAGGAGGAAAAAATGATTACACACTTTTGGAAACACATGGTGATTATCTTGGTGAGACCAAGAATTCTTAATTAATCCTATAATCTTGTTTATTCCTCTTTTCATAGGTACCACAACTCCCAGGATTTTCCTGGATCAAACCTTGTATCTCTTCCCCAAGTATTGTGTATATTGGCCTAAGAGATGTGGACCCTCCTGAACAGTAAGTTTAAGCTTTGGGCCTGTGCTGGCTATTTATGTTCCTCTTAAAGGTTGATGCTTGATGTAATCTGTTGTAGGTCAATACAAGGGAAAACCCCCTAATATACATGCTAAAAAACTTGGATTTTTTTTTTTTTTTTGTGTGTGTGTGTGTGTGTGTGTGTGTGTGGTACTGGGGATTGAACCCAGGGGTGGTTTGTCACTGAGCTACATACCCAACCCTTTTTATTTTTTGAGACAAGGTCTTGCTAAATTGCTGAGGCCTCCTGAGTCACTTAAAAATAGCTTTTAAACTAAGGATTCCTTTCTTTCTTTCTCACCAGCTTTATTTTAAAGAACTATGATATTCAGTATTTTTCCATGAGAGATATTGATCGACTTGGTATTCAGAAGGTCATGGAACAGACATTTGATCTGCTGATTGGCAAGTAAGTAACTACAGTGTATGTCTACTTCTAGATCCCAGAGAGGGACAGAGCAAACTCTCAATGGGTGTCACACCTTAGCCTGTCTCTTTAGCATAGAAACTTTACTTTTAAAATAAAACAAATTATGTACATATAGAAATTTCAGAAAGGTATCACATGAAACATCTAGTCATATTCTTTTTCTGGGGTTGGGAGGGAATTTCCTTTAAGTCATTGCCCAGATCTCCTGTTTCTTGTGAATTTCTCAGGGACACTTAAGTACTGAGTCACATCCCCAGCCATTTTTGTATTTTATTTAAAAACAGGGTCTTACCGAGTTGCTTAGCACCTTGCTAAATTGCTGAGGCTGGCTTTGAACTCTCAATCATACTGCCTCAGCCTCCTGAGCCGCTAGAATTACAGGGCAGGCACCATTGTGCCCGGCTTTATCTCCATTTAATGCTTATCTTTTGAGATGTGAGGCATTCCTTGTTCCAACAGTCTCATTCTTCACAGCCTCATTATTATTGCTTCATCTGAGTCTAATATTAAGCAAATCTTGGTAATATAGAAAGATGGCAGATGAATGATAATAATATGCTAGCTTAAAGGAGCATTTTCCCAATCCTGAGTTTTTACTTCAGGATGCTGTATGTTAGTTTCAGCCGTTGGACACATGTACTCAAGTTGGAATTGGAAGATGTTAAGTTTGCAGACATAAAATTAGTATTAAGTTCAGCTGCTGTTAGAGAATAAAGGCAAATATAACTCAGATCATGCTAACTTAAATTAGTATATCAGAGCCCAGTGTCATGTGAAAGTGAAGAATTCCCTCTAATGACAGTAATGAAGGAGGCTCTAATGCCCAGGGTACACCAGAAATACAATCGGCAGTTAATCAGTCTGAAATATGTAGAACAAACACCAATAACATGAAGTAGTGTGTAGGAATCTAATACACTTTTAGTAACTTTCAGGAAGAAAAAAACCTGGAAATTTGCTGTATTTAACAAAGTACCAGGACCAAAAAAAACAACAAAATCAAGGAGCTCCGATAACAGGAAAATGAATGAGTCTACAAGCACAACTAAATATGTATTCTCTGGTCCTCTTCCTTTCCAGGAGACAAAGGCCAATCCATCTGAGTTTTGATATTGATGCATTTGACCCTACACTGGCTCCAGCCACTGGAACCCCTGTTGTGGGGGGATTGACCTATAGAGAAGGCATGTATATTACTGAGGAAATACACAATACAGGTATGTAGACACCAGGTCAGTGGCCTGTTAAGTATATATGTAAATATGCGGCATCTCCTGCCTGAAGGGGATCTTTGTTTAAACTTTTTATTTTTTTGATACTGGGGATTGAACCCAGGGACACTCTTATCACAGAACTACAATCCCAGCCCCTTTTAGTGTTTGAGACTGGGTCTTCTTGCTAAGTTGCTGAGGCTGGCCTGGAACTTGTGATTCTTCTGCCTCAGCCTCCCAAGTCACTGGGATTACAGGTATGTGTTATCATACCAGGCTGTTCTGCTGAAAAGAAATTTTTTTGGGTACTGGGAATATAACCCAGGGCACTTAGCCACTGAGCACATCCACAACCCTTTTTATTTTGTATTTTGAAATAGCATCTCGCTAAGTTGCTTAGAGTCTTGCTAATTTGCAAAGGCTGGCTTTGAACTTGTGATCCTCCTGCCTCAACCTCCTGAGTTGCTGGGAGTAGTCATTTGCCACCAGGCCCTGCCCTAAAAAATGTTTTATTTGTATATTATAGTTATACAAAATAATGGGGTTCATTTTGACATAATTGTAGATGCATAGAATATAATTTGCTCCATTTCAGTCCCCAGTATTTCCTGTTTCTCTCCCCCTTGCTTAAATTTCTGTACCTAAAAAGTATAGGATTCAGCCCTCTGTACCACAAAAAAAAGAGGGTTGGTTCTCTGGGAGTCAGGAATTTGAAGTCAAAGCAGATCTCTTAAAGATATTGTAAGTTGGGACAAGTCCTTTTTATCTAAGTCTTGTACTAGAGGTTGTTTGATAGGAGTTTTAATAAGTAGGATACAGTTGGATAAATCACTGACAATATTAACATAAATTCTAGATTATCAAAAGTAACTTTTCCAAAACTCAAACTTGTTTGCAGTTTTCATTTTTGTAAAAAAGCTTCTGGTTTTAAGTTCACTTGAAATGACCTTCCCTTCCAAAATTTAAACACTTACCATGTGGTACTACTTCAGTAACCATTTCATGAAACAGGTATAAAGGAGCATAGAGACCCCAGATTCAAAGGTCTAAGGCTGTAGGGAACCCTGGAATAAGAGATAGAAATGGGCATTGAACCCATAGAACCTGCTAGAACCTTAGGAAAGCACTTTCAGATCTAAGAGTAGCAAGACAGTTTCATTCTCAGACCCGCCATCTTAGATATTACCTTGGGTTAGTGGACAGAGAACCCAAGAGTTCAATCCTCCATTTAGCTTTCCAATCTCACCAGTCAGAGGAGGGCTTAATAACCTGCAGCACCTAGACGTGGCATGGTCCTTGCCTTGTGCCACCTTTCCTCTGTTGCAGTATTTATTCCAAAAGACACTCATGATGTTGTCCATTAGATACATCAAACAGTTTTCTTTAATTTGCAGGATGGCAGTAGTCAGGAAACATAGGTAATAGTAGCACACACTCTCTGATTATTACTTTTGGGATAAGTTCAGGGTGCAGGTTTAGCCAGTATAAATCAGTGACATAAACCGTCAGAGACACAGGTCATATGGACAAAATGATGGAAATGCTATGGTAACATGCCTGGTCATTGCAGTTTTGCACACTGCAATCAGCTATGTTCTGTTTAAACAACACACTGAACAGATACAATGACACTAAGTATCACGTACTATAACATAATATCAATAAGCCATTAGGTGTATACACCCATGATTCTAGTCTTTGTAGTCACACCAAATATTCTTAGATACTGTATTCTTGAATACTAGTTTATTCAGATGACTCTCAAAGAGGTAGATTAACTTTATCCAGATTAACCAATTAAGAAGTTAGTTCTAGAGAAGTTGGCTATGTAGAGGGGGAGGGAAGAAGATCTGGATAGGTTCTTCCCTTTCCCTCCAGGCCAAAGAACAGTGCTGAGGACTTGGGCAAAAGTTCTCAAACCCTCACAGAAGGCAACATATGACTGTATCTTCCCATGGCCAAGTGTAAGATGCTGGGCCAGTCTGCTGGGAGACATAAAAAATGTATCAGATGTAGAACTTTCCTCAGAACTCAAGCATGAAGGGATAAGAATATACATTTTAGGGCACATGGTACAGTGCCTTAAGGGATACAAATGGGGCTGGGGATGTAGCTCAGTGGCACAGTGTGTGCGTAGCATGCAGAAGGTCCTGAGTTTGATCCCCAGCACCCCCCAAAACAATAACAAAAACAGATAAAGCATTAGAAAGCCTGATAGCTAGGCCTATTATGTTAGCTGAATAGGGATGAATTATTTGATTACCTTAAAGGTTTCTTTCAGTACTTCAGCTTATAGTGTTTTACTTGAATGATGGGTAAGAGGATGAGGTGCAAGGGGCTTTCTTACAATAGATAATTTTATAGTGAAAAGCGCTCCTGTTTTTACCTTGGCTTGTTCTCCTTGTCCAAGTGGGACAACTCTCACTAAAAGTACCAGCTAGGCGATTTTCTGAGATTTTGATACTTTTTCTTCCAGGGTTGCTGTCAGCATTGGATCTTGTTGAAGTCAATCCTCGGTTGGCCACTTCAGATGAAGAGGCAAAGGCTACGGCTAGACTGGCAGTGGATGTGATTGCTTCAAGTTTTGGTCAGACAAGGGAAGGAAGACACATTGTCTATGACCAACTTCCTACTCCCAGTTCACCAGATGAATCAGAAAATGAAGAACGTGTGAGAATTTAGGAAACACTGTGCACTGGCACATTTCACGATGGGCATTCCAGATTTGCAAAGCATTCAAGGGGACAGATACTAAATGGTTGGCTGGATTGATACTGCCTTAATAAGAACATCAATACATTTTCATGATTGTAAAGTTTCCCCTCTCCATTTTGGTGACCAATAATACTACTGTAAATGTATTTTTTTTTTTTTTTTAAATTCACAAGGTATTGATATGTTACAGTACTATGTAAATTTGCAGAAGTCATAAACTGCATTTATTACCTTGGTATATCATATTGGTCTTGTCATTGTTCCTTCACATCTATGTGGTTTTTCTGGCTGCTGTTCCTCCTCCCAGTCTGGCTACACAGTGCATCCTTGAACTGTTAGCCCACAGCAGCAACACGCTTATTCCACTCCCTAATAACATTTGTCCACAGGGTCAAGGTTCTGATCCACAAACCTTTCCCTATAGCAATTTCAATGCTTGCGAAAGAATTTGTAATAAACCAGGCCTCCCAGGATAGCTAGCTCCAATAAGATGATAATGGAAAGCAGCAGCTTGTTGGTCATCACTCTACAAAGAGAAGCAGAACAAGTAGTAGTCAGTAGTCTGGACAGGTTATTTCTTACAGTTCTTCATTCTTTGGAGTTTGTCTCAGGGCCAAGGCTAAGATACTCTGGGGGCAGATGAAATTTTTGTTTGAATACAGAGCCACTTAGCAATAAGTACTCATAAGGTTCTTTGGCTTGGAAGTGGCAACTCTGAAGGCTCTTTAGCTGTAATTTAGAGATAAAACTGTCTACCTCACAGAAATGTGGAAAATTAGGACATAAATACCAAAGCATAAAGATAGTTTCTTGGTTCTAAAATGTCTTCAAATCACATTTCAAATAGCAGTAATACAATACCACTATCTAGCCACATAGCACCACATTGGTTAAATACCACAGCTATGACTGTAGGCTGGGTGAAGGGTTTGGAACAGACCCTCCTGTGTCAAAGTCCAATTCATGGATGGGTTTTGCTTTTAGGAAAAGTAACTAGAACCCTGGGTACTGCCTTTCAGTCTTCCTTTTTTACTTTGTTCCTATTTCTTCTGCTCTGCTCCCCTAACTTAATGGGTATCTTTTATTATTATTATTTTTTTAAAAAAGTACTATTTTTTGTTTACACAGAGTTCAATCTCTGGTTTTCATGTTCACTCTTGGGTTTCTCCTTAGTCCACAAGGAATTTCCTATTGTTTAGGGAAAACTCTACGCTTCCTGCTAGTTTCATGAACAGGCTGTCATTTTGTTTCATGCTAGGCCATATGTGCCCAAGGTCATGCACTTATCCCCAATTTCAGCCTCAATGGCAATACTTCCCTTCAGTCCTGGTTTTGTTGCTGTTAGTACTCATCTCAAAGGTTTCTGTTTTGTTTTTAAAATCTACTTCTTGCTAACATGACAGGACTCCCAGAAAAGAGCCTCATTCACATGAAGGGCAACCAGAGCCAAAAGCCAGGACTAAGCAATAACACTTTTTTTTTTGGTACCAGGTATTGAACTCAAGGGCACTCAAACACTAAGCCACATCCCCTCATCCCCCTATTTTGTATTTTATTTAGAGACAGGGTCTCCTTTCATTACTTAGTGCCTCACTTTGGCTGAGGCTGGCTTTGAACTCAAGATCCTCCTGTCTCAGTCTCCTGAGCAGCTGGGATTACAAGCGTGCGCCAACTTGCCTGGCCATGAAAACTGTTTTCTAATCAAGTTTTTACAAATATATTTCAATAAATATAAAGCTCTATCATTCCCATGTGTCTTCTTGCAGAAATATAAAGCTGAGATTAAACATTCTTTCAGTGGACAAATTTTCAAGTGCTGCAAATCAGAGCAATACATAATTTTAACAAAGGATTTTATCCTGGAATATTTTACTATAAAAACTATATTCCTTACTTTATTTCTCTATCTGCTGGGCAGTACTGAGTACAGGGGGACTATATGGAACAAAGCACTAAGGTGATTTATTAGGACTCTGCCACTGTTTTAAGCTTTCTTGGTTGAAGACATTAAGAGTTAAAAGAAATTTTGTAACTTTTTGAAACTTACTTTCTGGACATCGAACGGAGAATCTTTCGACTTTTGCTCAAGTTTTCACTTGTGTTTACCAGCTGAGAAGAGAAAATACCAATTATTTCCCCCTTCTTTCAAAAGTACATACTGTATAGAATTTGAACATTCCTAAATTAATAGTGGGCATTAAGAGGTCTATGTTCAAAAAGGCCTAGAAATCAAACTAATTTAAATTATGGCCTCTGAGTACAAGTAGCAGAATCTGGAAAGGAAAAGGTACTTTGGTATTCATCAAGGAGATGTGGGAATTATTATATCCCAAGGTTGCTGTGGGGTTGTAGACTTTTGGCTGGGACTACTTTCACTTTGGCTACTCAAAACAGGAAAGGATCTGGATTACCCAGCCAGTGTCTATGTAGCAACTTAAGATTTCTATTTCATCAGCCAAGTTCCAGAAGAGCCTCCTGGGTTGGTGTTTATTTCCATAAGCTGGTAGACTATCATTTTAAAATGTGTTTTAAAAATCTTTTATTACCCCTTTGAGGCAGTTATACTGAATTGTGAAGGGAATTAGCCCCCATGGACCCCTTCCCTTTTGACTGTTTGTTACTAATCTAGATAGCTAGAGAACATCTCAATGGCTGCTCCTTGTCATCTGTTCCCAGATGATCAATATACCAATAGCCTTGATATAGTGATCTCTCAGTGCATTCTTTGGCTTTTTTTTTTTTTTTTTTTTGGTGGTACTAAGGATTAGAATCAGGGCCTCAATCTACCTACATCCCAACCCTCTTTAAAGATTTTAGTTTTGAGAAAGGTTCTCACTAAATTGCTGACATTGAACTTGCCATTCTCTCGCTTTAGCCTCCCAACTAGCTAGGATTATAGGTGTACATGACTGTACCCACCCCACTCTTTGGCTTTATTTTATTTTTTATGCGATGTTGAAGATCAAATTCAGTGCCTCACATGTGCTAGGTAAGCACTCTACCACTGAGCTACATCCCCAGCCTTCGTTGACTTTTAAATTTAACCAAAATTTAAAAGCTCAGAACCCACATTATTTGTTGGCAAGTTAATTCTCCATAGCTTGCTTTGGATAAGCATTTTATTGTGAATTTTCATTGAATATTGATACTGATTTCACTAATATTGAGAATAGAATCACTGATTAATTTTAAGAATGAAGAATTGCAAAATGTGGGGAAAAAAAGAATGAAGAATTGAAGCTATTAAGATGTGTAAGAAAGATATCACTGAGTAGCGCATGCCTGTAATAGGCAAGAAGATTACAAGTTTGAGGCAACTTAGCGAGACCCAGTCTCAAAAATATAAAAAGGGCTGGGGTTGTAGCTCAGTTTAGAGTACCCCTGGGTTCAAATCCCCAGTATCTGCTCCACAACATCCTCAAATCCCCACACTAAGCTAAAATTTTCCTGTCTAAATCTTGGACCCACTATCCGCTTTTCAGTTTGAATTTGCCTCAGCCTATTAAGATAGAGCATTCCACTGGCAAACTACTATTTTAAAAATCCCTCTGTAGAGTAACAAATATTTAGAAAGGAAGAAATGAGTTATTTCCCAGAGTTTCTTAAAAGTGGCAGCATATTAGAGACCCCCAACAGTCATCAATGGATTTCTATTTATTTTTTTCCCTCAATGATCCAACTTACCTTGGTAACAGTAAAGGACTATAGTCCAATACTGAGCAATAGTTTATAAATCTACATACTATGAATGGTACTATGTTTGACATTTGGAAAAGAACGTTGGTTCTAAAAGATGGGGTGTTATAAGTTGATGATGTTTTCCTAAGAATATCAAAATATTCCCCTAGATGTGAGAAATTAAAAGCTCATGTTGCTGACTTTGAATCCTTACATGCCTCTTTAAAAAAATTTTTTTTTCCCATTAATGTCTAAGTCTTAGGGGTAAAATTCCTTCAAAGGGAGAACCTCTCTTACCCAAGCAACCTAAAAAAAAAGGTTATCCCCTACATTTAGAACTGCTGTAGTTTTTTGGACTTAGGATGATGGCATCTGGGTATGGTGGACCTACCTACTTTCCCTATTCCAGTCACTTTTCCCCACCTGTGCAGACTTACTCTGTTCTTGGTACGTTCCAGCTGGTCTCGTTGCTCCCCCAGCTCTTCTATGATTTCTGAGCCAATCTGATCAGTTTCTGTAGCAATCCGATGAGAACGCTCAATGCTTTGAGTGGCCCTGTTTAGGCTTTCAGTGCCTTGCAGAAGCAATGCCCTTTGTGAATGTAGCCGATTCTGATAGGAACATGGGAGGGAAATGTTATAGATTCAGTGCCAGCATGCTCCTTACAACCTTGTATAAAAAGGGATATAGGAAACAACAATTTCCATTATAGTTAGTTCCCTGGTATCCACAGTGGATTGGTTGACCCTTGAGGATGTCAAAATCTACGGATGCTCAAATTTCTTATATAAAATGGTGCAGCAGTTACATATAACATATGCACATCCTTCATATACATTAAATCATCTCTAGATTATACATAATGTCTGATACAATGTAAATGTTAAGTAAATAGTTGTTTATTGTTTAGAAAATCATGACAAGAAAAAAGTCGGTACATGTGATTCGCATAGATAGAATTTTTAAAAAATATTTTCAATGCAAGGTTAGTTGAATGATCAGATGCAGTGGACAGGGAGGGCTAACTGTACTTTTAAAGAAGAACCAAAGATACTAATATACTGTAAGATCATGTTCAAGGTCATAGACTCAAGTAGAACCTGAAGTTCAATCAGCCAGACCACAGGTTACCCACACCACTTGTTAAACTTAAGTGAAGAGAGGTGAGAAAAAAATAAAAGATAAGAAGCATTTTTCCTGTGGATCAGTTCAAATTTATCATAAACATAAAATGAGTCTCTCAGAGGCAACTTCAGAAAGGTAGCAGGCTAGATTTAGGGGTGCAGGAGCTAACTGATTATGCATATAGCCTGTAATTTTGGCAGTGCTTCACAAGAAAACTAATCTTTACAGTCCTAGAAAAAGACTAATTTGCTCAAGATTCCCACTTGACTGGTACTGAGGATTTGGGTATTATGAATAAACTATTCTTTTTTAGCATATAAAAAAATCATTTAGAAGCCCAAGATTCAATCACAATAAGGAAAAAAACTTAGGTGGCCACCACACTCTTGGTGACACACCCCCACCACACCTGGCCCCCTGCCAAAGAATTTCATCTCAGG